AGAGAGGGAACACAAGCAGGGGGAGTGGGAGAGGGAGAAGCAGGCTTCCCGCTGAGCAGGGAGCCCGATGCGGGGCTCGGATCCCAGGACCCTGGGATCATGACCTGAGCTGAAGGCAGATGCTTAACGACTGAGCCACCCAGGGGCCCCGTAGCTGTTGCTTTTACTCCGGCCGAGTCCAGAAGCGCTGGCTCCTGCACACGCTGCATTGTTTGCTTTCGGCAGCGCACTGATGCCATAAATATTTACTCACGCTCAGTGCGCGCCCGCGACTCTGAGGAGCCTCAGGAACGCGGCGTGGAACAAGACAAAAATGTCTGTTCCCTGAAGTTTAAAGTTCAGTGGTGGACGCAGACCATCGCAAGGAAACAAATAAATGAACAAGATAATTTGAGGTAGTGCTATAAACAGAATAAAATAGCATGTGTGAAAGTGTGGAGGGAGGCTGTTTTAGATCAGGTGGTCAGTGCTTGACGAACCTTTACTTTGAAGAAATGGCATTTGTCATGAGCATTGAATTAGGAGATAGAGGGAGACGGGCACAGCCTAGGAGGAAGCCTTAAAACTGAATGGTCAAATGTCCCAGGAATAGAACCACAACGCAGACATTTTTTTAAAATTTATTATTATTATTATTATTATTATTATTATTATTTTAAAGATTTATTTATTTATTTGAGAGAACGAGAAAGTACATGAGAGGGGGGAGGGTTAGAGGGAGAAGCAGGCTCTTCGCGGAGCAGGGAGCCCGATGTGGGACTCGATCCAGGGACTCCAGGATCATGACCTGAGCCGAAGGCAGTCGCTCAACCAACTGAGCCACCCAGGCGCCCTATTATTATTATTATTTTTTTTTAGTAATCTCTACACCCAACGTGGGGCTTGAACTCACGACCCTGAGATCAAGACTCACATGCTCTTTTGACTGAGGCAGCGGGGCGCCCCAAGACAGACATCTGAGTACGTATTTCATCTGTGAAATGGGCATGGAAGATTAGTATGGGTTGTAAATATAATGTGTGTAAAGTACAATGCCAGCTACAGGGTGAGTATCTGAGCTGGGTGACTGGATGGGGGGATTTAATGGGTAGAAGGTGGTGTACTTATTTAAGAGTTCAATAGCTTGGGGTCGCCTGGGTGGTTCAGTCGGTTGAGCATCTGCCTTGGGCTCAGATCATGATCTCAGGGTCCTGGGATCAAGTCCCAAGTTGGGCTCCCTGCTCAGCAGGGAGTCTGCTCCCTGCCCCCTCGTGCTCACTTGCGTGCTCTCTCTCTCTCTCAAATAAGTCAGTATCTATTAAAAAAAAAAAAAGAAATTTAATGGCTTGTAATATGATTAAGAAAGAATGAAAACAAATGAATTAAACATTCAGTTCCTGTGGTTAGAAAAAGGACATGAAAATAACCCAAGGCAATCAAAGGAAGGGATTATGTAAAGAAAAAGAACATGCATGAAAGGATTGGAAAATTTACGAAACAGAACTAACAAAAGACGGGAAAAGTCTGGGCAGGTACAAGTTATGAAACACTAGGAAACCTGAAAGTGTAGAGCAAAGGCGTCTATTCCCCAAAGCTGGGGACACGTGAGCTTTTAGCTGCAAAAGAGCCCCGAAAGAAAATCCTGGGGGAATTTGCCTTAGAAAAAAAAGCGTTTAGACAAAAGAGCTGAGGAATTATCCTGTCATTGGGGAGGAAAAGCTGAGTGTTGTGGTCACATCAATAGGCCCCGCAAAGCTGCCAACTAACTGCAGCTTTGCTAAAGTGTGTTGATTACAAATGAGTAAGTAACTGCCACACTGGGAAATCTCCTGGCAGCTGGACCTGGCACAGTCATTTCACCATACATAGGCATCCGGGGGGCCAGTTCCCTGGCTCCAGTGGCAAAGACATGGAGCTCATACTGCTACATCAGAAGCTGTAAGTCGAGAAGAGATTTAAGAAGGGCTTGTATGCTGGGGCTTGCCCTCTAGGAATCCTGCCGAAGCCAGGCCTGAAGAAGCCCAAGATAGGCCAGTGTGGAGAGAGACCGCCTGGCCCTGTCACTCCAGCCGGTCCAGCCGAGCTGCTCCCTGTGGTCGCATGAGTGAACCCGGGGGTAGGTGGATTCGAGAGTGGACAGAAAGTTTTTCCCCTCAGCTACGAGAACAGAATTGTCATTAACTGAGCTTGAGAAGACTGTAAGGGAAACTGGTCTGGGGGGAGAATATCAGAATTGTTTTGGGATAAGTTAAATTGGAGACGCCTTGGAGACATCCATTGGGAGTTGATAAGGAAGCGATTAGAGGGAGAGGTACACATTTTGAGGACGTGGTGCAGGTCCAGGCTGGAGATACAGAATTTGGAAGTCCTCAGTTAAATTCTCAAGATAGTATAAACTCACTAAGGGAGTGAGTTTAGATGAGAGAAGAGGTCTGAAATCTGAGTTCTGGGGCGCTCCACCATTTGGAGGCTGAGGAGGAAACACTGAAGGAGTGTGAGGAGGAGAGGGGTCAGCCAAATGTGTTTCATGGAGGGAGTGCTTACAGGAGTCCAATTCCGCTGAGAGGCACGACTGAGAACGGACTGAAAATGACTTCTAATTGTACAAAACAAAACCCCTATGAAATAGAATATTTTTTAATTTACAGTATATAGCTGAAAAAATCTGGAAATGGTTTTGTTCCAAATCCCATAGCTATTCAGCATCAGAATTAGTGATTTCCAGAAGTGCTAGATGAAGTTTACAAAATGCTTTCTCTGCGAGGAAACGCCTGGGAGTAGAATTCAAATTACCCAGAACAAGGACATCGGGGGAAAAGAAAGAGAAGGTCCCCACTAAAGTGGGGGTACAGGCCAGAGGAGTCACAAGTCAGAAAATACAAGGCCGTATTTTTTTTAACACTTGGCAAAAGCAACAGAAGAAGGAGCCTTAGAGTTAAGACAATTTTATTATAACGCTCACTTGGAAGATTAAATAAGCAAGAATATTTGGGAAAGCCCTGAGAAAGAAGAAAATGAAGAGAGGCTAGCCCTACCAGTTATTAAAACATTATAAGGCCTGGATAATAAGATTTAGGTATTGGGACCTGAATACATAGATCAATAAAATAAAGTAGAAAAATCCAAAAACAGGGGCGCCTGGGTGGCTCAGTCGGTTAAGCGTCTGCCTTCGGCTCAGGTCATAATCCCAGGTCCTGGGATCAAGTTCCATATCGGGCTCCCTGCTCAGCGGGGAGCCTGCTTCTCCCTCTCTCTCTGCCTGCCGCTCTGCCTACTTGTGTTCTCTGTCTGTCAAATAAATAAATAAAATCTTAAAAAAAAAAAAAGAAAAATCCAAAACAACTGCATCTGGAAATTTAATATGTGATAAGGGTGGCATCTCAAATCAATGGAGGAAAAAGGCGCTCTTCATAAATAGTATGGGGGTAAGTGGATAGCCAGACAATCATATCTGTTTTTCCACACAAGATGAATTCCAAATGGGTCAAAGATTTTAAAAAGTTTTTTTTAAGAAATAAAGCTATGTAAGTACTAAAGGAAGTGAGAGCAGATTCTTCAGTAATGGAGGAATTGGAGAAACTCCGGAACTCAAAACCCAGGAGCAATTAAGGAAAAGACTGAAATTTGCATTATCCAAAACAACAGCAACAATAAAATTTTTTTGCATAGCAAAACACATCATAAGCAAAACAAAAAGACAAGTTAAAAACTGGTAAAAAATATTTCCAACTTATAGAAGATTCATGTCCAATGGTTGTGTCCTGGAGGGCAAGGAGGACTTCCTGATTCATAGGACTTGCCAATTACCATGGTGTAAATATTCCCACCAAAACAGATTTTAAATTCCCGAAATGCACTCAACTGTACTGATGTGGCATCAACTGGGTCATAGAATTCCTGACGATTTAACAGTCAGCACTTGTAAGCTGCCACTAGCCACCTCCAGCCCCTCACTCTAAATATCCCTAATATATGAAGGACTTAAAAAGATGGAGAAGAAAAGGAAAACCATCCCCTTGTGGGAAATAGGCAAGAGATATAAACACACATTCACAAAAAAAATAAATGAAAATATAGGACCTTTAAATATATGAAAAAATGTACAATCATACTTGTAACAAAAGAAATGCAAATTAAGGGTGCCTGGGTGGCTCAGTTGGTTAAGCAACTGCCTTCGGCTCAGGTCATGATCCTGGAGTCCCAGGATCGAGTCCCATATCGGGCTCCTTGCTCA